AATTTTAAAATGATTGAGAGGGTTTGAGAAGCAAAGGGTTGTTCTATGTTTTATAACTTATTATATAATGCACCCAGCAAAAAAAAAAAAGACAAATAATAATTAGTAGGCTTTGATTAGGATGGTTATAAATTTTAATTTTTATAAATTTAACAATTTTAAATAAAAAAATTATTTTTATATATTTTTATAATATACTATCATAATTATTAAATAAATAAGAAAAAAATAATTTTAATATTATTAAATAAATTTTTTTTTTCATTTGTGTTAAAATTTATTTTAAATAAATTATTATTTTTTATTTTTTATTTTAATTTTTAATAATTACATAATTTATAAAAATTAAAAATTACAACTATAATAAATAGAGTTTAAATTCACTTTTCTTTTCTTCTCTTTTCTTTTCTTTTTTTTTTCAATTTGTGCCTTTTTGTTAATCTTCTTCTAACAATGTTGTAGAATTACATAGGTAATTTAATTTTAGAAAGAGACAAAAAGCATGTGATCACTCAATCAAGTACTACTCTTTTTATTTGTAAATATATTTGATATCGAATTAGGATCAGTTTATTTCAGTATAAGTACATAATAACTTTTCGTAGAGCTTTTATTTTGACAAGTTAACTATTGAATTTAATATTAAATTTAATATTTTATTCATATTGACTATGGACAATAAATACAATAGTGATAGTGATAAATGATATTTGTAATTATACAAAAATATCACATTTTTTATTATTTATTTAACAATATAAAATTATGAATTGTAAAATAATTAAAAAGATTTAAATTTAATTTGATAATATTGTTCTATACTGCACTTGTGTTGCATTACCACAAAAAGTATTTAGTAATTATATTTCAAAAAAATTACATATTATAAAATTACTCAATTAAACATATTATTATTTAAAATTAAATTAATTAATAATTAAATATGTAATATACATTTGATTTTAATTAATTAAATTAAAAACATTTTTGAAAATAATTTTTATTATAATAAAACTAACCTATCAAATTCAAATTTACCTTTTTTTAAAAGATTTTTTAAAACGAGTTAACAAACTACCTGACATTCAAATAAAAAATTAATTAATAAATAACTTTTCTAAGATTTTAAAACTATTTCTAATATGAGAACATGATTATTTTCCCATTTTCAATAGAACCTTTTCACTCAAACCCATTGTTTCTTTACCTGAAACTTCATTTAAAGCAACATAAAAAATTTTATCAAAGAAAAATTTAATATAAACTACACAATGCATACAAAAGCATAATTCTTCTGTAAATTTAATAAAATGCAACTTTTAAAAGCTAACAAAAACCCTCTTTAAAGTATGCACATATAAAAACTTACATTCAAACATCAAACTTGATTCATCAAACTCATAGCTATACTATTTCTTATAAGTTCCATCTCTAGCAAAATTTCTTCCTCATTCTCTCCAATAATGTTGTCATCATTATCAAACTCTATATTCTCAAAACTTGAACCATAAACACCATGATTAAATTGTTGATTGTTTTCTTTGTGCCTTAAAATAAAATTATGCAATGTCATTGTTGCAACAATCATATCCCTTCGTGTTGCAAAATCATATCCATGCATGTCCTTCAAAATATTCCATTGTTTCTTCCATGTCCCAAAAGCTCATTCAATCACACTTCTAAGTGAAGAATATGCATGATTAAAAATTTCACAATAACTAGAAGGCCTGTGCTTGAAATCCAGGTAAATGGTAATTTTCACTTCTATAAGACCCCTAATTACCTTTCTACAATGCATATCTTGAATCAATTAGATAGTACTTTCCTACAATATTAAATAATTATAATATTTTTTTCATGCATTTTTTATCTTAAAAGGAGGAGAAAAGGAATGACAAACTAAATACCTTCTCGAGGATGAGGGAGGATGAGGAAAGTTATAACTAGATTCATTAATAGCTCCAGAAAAAATAGATGTAACTAGATTCATTAATAGCTCTAGAACAAATAGATGTGTCATGCTTCTGGTATTCTCGCAAGTACAAAAGTAAATTGCATGTCAAACCCATAAGCTGTCATTATATTTTGAGTTGGAATCCCTTTTCTACCAATAAAGTGAACTTGTTCCTCTGTTGAATAGTTGATATGTGTACTCCATCAATAGCACCAATGCACATTCCTAAATAAAAAAAATAAAAAAAAAGGAAGTAGGAAACATTAGATGCAAATGATAGGACTTCAGTCATAAATGTAAATAAATGTAATTTTATAATACCTTAAAATGAGGCCAATATCTTATATCTTCACCTATTTCAGATGAAGTTTCTTGAAAATTTCTACCAGCAAGTGATATAATATTAGTAGCCAACAAAAGTACTTTATTAAGCAACAAAAGGTATTAACTAACAGTCTCCCTTGAACGCTGAAAATATTGTATTGATCTATTACTCTTGCCTAGTGTCAAAGTATATAAGAACATTCTAAATATCTCAATAGTTCCAATATGTCTTGAGCATCTTACGTTATATTTAGTTCAAGCTCATGTAACAAGAATAAAAATGTATCTTGTTCATCCTAAACATATTCAAACATCTATCTTTCAAGATCTTGTAACCATGCATCACCTTTTTGTTGAGAAGTCATGCGTGACACTTTGTAACAATATGTATTAGCATAAATCTCAAACAAATGAGCACCTACAGTCAACATAGAATCGTCTTGAAGCCCATCAATTGCATCATCTATATTTGACATTATTCCGAAAAAGAGAAGAATGAAATCATTGAAATATAAACACAACATAATACATGTAGATAAAAAAATTATCTCAAAGAAAAAAATAACAAACTTGTAAAAAAATATATTCTTGTCATAAAAATATATGACTATCACTCAAGTTAAAGTTAATGAAGAGTTTAAATTATTGAATTTAACCAAAAATCCAACCAAAATTCAAGTTATCTAAATTAATTTCAAAAGTAGTCTTCACCACATGTTGTAAAAGAAAAATCCAAAAATTTATAGCTTTTAAGTTATCATAGAACTTCCTACACGTAGGAGCTAGATGGTTTTCATCTTTTGTCTCTAGTATTATGGTTTAAAACTATACAATCAATAAAAGATCTAGAGTTCATAGTCCTTGATTTTATAATAAACTAATTGAATGAAGTAAATGCACATTATAAAAAAAGACATGATAAAAAAATTAATAAAAATTTATAGATAATCTAATAATGGAAAGGAGTAATAAAAAAACAAATACAAATAGAAATGAAAAACAAAATTCTAGTAAATTCAAAATTTCATATCAAAAAGTTTTAAAATAAATATATCATCAAATATTCTAAAGAAAATAACATATGAATTAAAATGTCTAGTCTATTTTGGTTCCAACATTTTCTGCCTCAACTTTAAGCGTGACAACCTAATAGTAGGCTCTAGAGAAACAAATATCTCTCATTTTTCTTTGATCTCTAAAAACTAAGTGATAGCAAACAAATAAAGCATTTTGTCGACATATATATCAAGCATATTATCCAACAATTCTACCCCTTCACGTATTGTAAGAACAGGTGGGTCTTTCTTTGTTGAATCAACAGTAATTTTACTTTCCATTAAATTACAGAAATAATCAATTTAACTAGAAAGGTTTTTGCCACCTCCTTGTCTTCTAGATTTTGTTAGCATATCATATGCCTCAGCCTCCCATTTTTGCTTACTACAATCATTTTCATGTAGAAAATAATTAGCTAGTTCATCAAGGTCAATGTTTCCCATAGCATTTTCACTAAAATCCTAACTTCCATCATCTAAATTTTGAGTTTCAATTGGACCATTTCTAGGCGGAAGAGATACTGAAGAGGGAGAATAAACATAATCCTTTCGTGAAATAACTCCATGAAACATCTTCTCATACTTCTCTTTCAAATCAGATTCTATTCCACTTGTTTTAAATTTCTTTACTTTTGGTCTCTCTTACACATTAGTGAAAGATAATTAGTGCATGAAATAGCTTTTTAGTTAAATTAGTTAGATATGATATAGATTGTTTTGGCATACCTTTTCTATTGCCAATCGAAATTCTCGAGTGACAACAATAGTGTTAGTCACAAGATCTCATCCCAGATCAGTAGCCTTTGACTTAAGCCATTTCCAATTTTTATAATCCACCTTGAATTGATCTCATTTATTCCTAAGTTGTTTTTGTGTACCTTCAACTCTTGCTTCTTTGTTAAATTCCGCAACCAAAGCTTTCCAAGGTCGAGGAGAGAGTATTCACAGAATAATGTCCTAAATGTTTATATTTCAAAAATATATCACAAACTTTTTCCATAAGTCGCCTAGGCCAATTTGCCTTAGCATTAACATTTTTAGCTGTGATGTTATCACTCATGTCTACTAAAACATATAGAGAACATATTAGAATAAAGGAAATTCATTATTCAATAGACCTATTAAATAAATTCCTTCAAGAATAAAGTATTTAAATAGAGGAAATGTATCATCTTAATGAAAAACAACAACCTAAAGCATAACGAACTCAAATCATATAACAAATGAATATATTTACTCGAACACAAAAATTAGAAGGGCTTAGACCACTTTTAATGTAAAATACAATTAATTTTAGATGAACATTGACTTAAGCACAATTAAAATTATTGAAAATAAAAAAAGGACCCTTGGTAATTTTGGGAAACCATTTATTAGACTCGAAGAAGGGAACATGAAATTAGGCCCAAAACCAATGGAAAAATCACTGTGGAAAGTGATACCAAAATTGAATCTGATTAAAGAATGCAAAGCACCATAAATTTTAGCAAACGAATAACCAAAATTTCCCTTCTTATGAACTTAAAACTGGAACTCACTACAATCAAGGAAAACAACTAAGACATTCGAAGTACTAATTGAACCAAATAAGAGTGTAAGTCAATAACAAATATGAGGTGCAAAATCAAAAGCAAACATGAAATTAAATCAAAATCAGATTCAAAGAGAGGACTAAATTTGATATCCATGAGAAGAGAATCCAAATTATTGTTTCTTTCTATTAGCCAGAGAATAACTAAATGCAAAAGAAAAGTATACTCACCTGAAAAAATAGGATATCCTTGTATCAATTCTCTCCTCCTTAGCCAAATATCTAGAAAATTTCCATCTACTGAAACCCCTTACAAGTATCGAACATAGGAAGTGAGGATGGTTCAAGAGCAGATGGAATTTATAGTGAAAATGATTAGGGTTGAGAGTAATTGTAGTTGAATCAAAGTTTGTGATGGGTAAAAACATAAGATTCAAGAGAAATTAGTGTTCTTCTGCAGTTGTAGTTGTTTGATATAAAGAAACGCAAATAGAGTGGAGAAAATATGATTCATAATCATATTTTAGGAATTTTATTAATTTCGGATAAGATGGTTTTTGTACTCCTTTCTTGAAAAGTAAAAACAAATAATTTACTAAATGCATAAATTATGAAAAATACTATAAATGTGTGTGAAATGTCTTATACACGCTGTTATCAAACGAAACCTTAATTAACTTGAATTTTAGTGTGCATGATCTATAAAAATAGATTATTTAATCTAACTGTTATCTCTTAACTTCTTTTTCTTTTTTTTTTAATGGAAGATTTCAATTTTAATGATAGATTTGATAAAATACAAACTGTATGAAAGTTACGGACTGGAGTAAGTTACAGTGAAACTTTGATGTTAGAAAAATAATTACATCCCAAAACACTTTCAACTAAAATCCAGTATTTAGCTAAAAACTAGAGAATCAAATTAGACCTCTAAGCTGCTGTTTGTTTTCAGTTTGAAATAGAACATCAAATTCAGTATTGTTATAGAAGATTTTTTTTTTTTCCCCAAGGACCAGAACAAGTTTAGTTAATTCTCAATTTAACAGTAAAGCATGCATTTATAATTTCATAATAGAAGACTTCAAGTAGCATCACTCGAATTAGGCATTTCGATAAGGAAAAGTGCTAGAACTTTTAACTCTTGAAACTAAGAATGTTAACGGCAAACACATTTAGTTTTATGGTTCAAAACATAGCTAAGAAAAGATACTAGGACAATCCTTTCCTTATATACACATTCTTCAAGTTTTCACGAGGGTTGCACAACAAAACGTAAGGTTTTCCTACAGCAGCCCATTTGTCATTCATAACAGCAAAAAGTTCATATGTTCAAGTACAAAAATCAGAGAGCCAGGATTAGGTCTTGGGCAGAGTTCAAATTTATCTTACAAAGGTTAGTTGGACTGGCACTTGAAATAGTAGATACTTCTAAGGCTCCCAAAATAAGTATGCTGCTTTTAACTAGTTTAATCTATTACAACAGGGAAGCAAACCTCCATAAGCTGTGAGCCTCAGTAATTATAGCAATAAAATTAACATAGTTTAACTAATATAACTTAAACCAACCATACACTGATGTTAATCTAGAAAAGTAGCTTTCATACGCCAAGGGTACAGGATCAGTTCCATCCAAAGGGTTCAATAACGCAAAAAATAAAAAACAAAAAGGGTAATGTATTGCATCCTCTTTTCTTTTCTCTTTTTTGAACTGTTAGAAAATAAATTTTATAAATATCATACTAATATTTTGAATGAAAACATATAATTCAAATTATTAGTCTCATACATACATAGTCAAGTAATTAAACTACATACCCAAATCTGATCTCAACATCTCTCAAGCATGATTAATTTCAAGGAAACATTCTTTAAGTATCAAAAAGAGTTAGATAACCAATACATAATTATTTCCTATGCAGATTGAATCACCCTAAAATTGTTATTTCTTAAATATTTTTCTTATCTTCACATCATATCATTGTTGCATTTCAATTACAAAATCAATAAATTTTTTTTTTATAAAACAAAATCAATAAAATTGATAATTAGTGAAGTTATTAAGGAAATATCAATAAAAAATATCACCAAAATAGGCATAAAAAGCTTACTTGCTTTATGGTACATGATTAACACCTCTGCAGATAGATCTACTAGTGCAGTAGAAAAATATGTCACCCCTACAATACTACAGTTTTATAAAAACACTATATAAATTTATACTACTCATAAAATTACTTAACTCAAGACACTTATTTTTTTTACCTAAGAATACTTAAAAAAATAAAATAGTGATAAAATATATATTTATGTATTGGGGTAATTGCGTCCTTCAGCCTATTGTATATCCTCTACATATATATAAATATATACACCTTTACTAATGAGAAGAGATACGACATTTTGTTCTGTTTTAAATAGTGCATGAAAGTGAAGAACGGGGAGGAAATTCTTATTTAAGCAAAATAACATGTTCCATTAATAAAACTCTTTTGTAATCTTTATCTATAAACTAATTGTAAAAATAAATTATGCATATAAATTTACTAAAATATATTTAATAGAACTCTTCTTATGTTATTTCATTAATATTATTTTAATAATTTTATTGCATGAACTACACTTTAATAGTATTGTCAAACTTGAACAACATGTAACTCTAAAAATCATTGTCAGTGTACATCTCACCAAATCCTTGGACCAGCTAAAAACAGCACAAATGGTCTAACATTCCAAACCAGCTTCAATTAATTTTAGGAGTCCTTTCAAAATTCTAAATCAACTACAATCAACTTTAATTAGAAGCAACCACTAATAACTATAGGAGTTATTTCCCTAGCCATTAGCATAGGTCTTTTACTTACTTCAACCCCAATTAACTTTAAGAGTAGCCCCATGTTACTTACTTTAGGAGCTCTTTACCATAGATTCTAAAGTGCAGAATGCCTTTATGATGCTTATTCATTGCATTATTTAAATTCTAATCTACATAAACATGTATATAAGCAAAATAATATAAATGCATAACTAACACAGTCCATTCTTTCAAATATTTCACAGATTTTCAACCAGAATATCATCCACGACAAGGTTTGAGCATTCAAAGAACAAGAGAAGTGCAACATTGAAGTAAATTTCTACTTACATGTACTTTAATAGCATTGCATGTCTAAAATCCAGTTTTTTTCACCAAACTTATTCCCTAGCTCAATTTTATCACAAATAATTTCAACAATGTAATTCTAGATTAAGTTGGATTAAGTTGAATTAAAGCTAAATTTACCTTACCATAACCAAGTTCAAGAAAAGCTCTCCCTTCAACCTTTCTCAACTCTGCTGCTGATTCTGGGCTGCAAAACCTCCCTCCCTTTTCTTTTTCTCTTTTGGCACCAGAAAATAAGAGAAGTGAAAATGAGTTCAACTAGTGATTTTAACTACTTATACATCTAGACAAAGTTAGTGGAAATTTAATAATTTCCACTAACCAGATCATCCTTCTAATAATCTGGTAAGTTTGAGCATGCAAAGAAGAAGAGAAGTGCAACAATGAAGTAAATTTCTACTTGCATGTACTTTAATAGCATTGCATGTCTAAAACCGAGTTTTTTTTACTAAACTTATTCCCTAGCTCAGTTTCATTACAAATAATTTCAACAATATAATTCTAGATTAAGTTGGATTAAGTTGAATTAAAGCTAAATTTACCTTACTATAACCAAGTTCAACAAAAGTTCTCCCTTAAACCTTTCTCAACTCTGTGGCTGATTCTGGGCTGCAAAAACTCCCTCCCTTTTCTTTTTCTCGTTTGGTACCAGAAAATAAGAGAAGTGAAAATGAGTTCAACTAGTGATTTGAACTACTTATACATCTAGACAAAGTTAGTGGAAATTTAATAATTTCCACTAACCATATCCTTCTCCTTCTAATCTGGTAGTGTTGCTAAAATTACCATGCAACTGGGAGCCAAAAAGTCCAGTTTCACTTAACTACCTAAACTTTTAGAAATTTGACAATTTAAGAATAGAGTTCCACCAAAACTCATAATTTAGGATAGGTGTCGCCTCATTCTCCCTTCGTTAAAGATTTGGTCCCCAAATCTAAAGCTAACCTTTAAATAGATGAGGATACAGTTTCTTAATCAGCTCTTCCATCTCCCAGGTAGCTTCATTTTCAAAATGAAGTTACCATTTCACCTTAAGCATGGGAATAACTTTGTTTCTCATAATCTTTTCTTTTCTGTCAACGATTCTTTCTGGTTCTTATTCATTCC